ATGTGGGAATAAAAACACAATTTTTTTAACAATGCTATTTTATGACTTCAGATGCATTTCTTTAAAAAAAAACTATAAAAGTAAACCAGTTTTTATACAATATTTACTAGGCCTATTACTAGCCAAATCTAAATAGTCCCTCCCTCATCAATAAAAAGCAAAAGCGCAATAACGAATTGTTCTGATTTAAAAAAAAAACAAATAAAAACCGCCCTCCCTCATCGTTTGTTTTAAAGAATGATAATCTAATAATAAACAAGATATTTATAGTCCTACTATAGCCAATTTAGGGCACATAGGAAAAATTATTAGATCACTATTTTTTTTTAAATCAGAACAACTGCTTCTTTAATAGATGAGGGAGGGAATTTTTTATTCGGCCAGAATATTGTAAATATTGTAAAAAAATAGGTTTAATTTTTATTGTTTTTTAAAGAAAACGTATTTCCAATCACATAATTACATTGTTTTTATGCTGTTGAAAAAATGATGCGGCCAAGAAAAAGAAACATTTTTTTAAATTTCCGTATCAATATTTCCCAATTTTGTTGACGCGGGCTGGAGTGATGATCTAATATTTTTTTTTGTATACCGTACTCGCGTGAATAAGCGAACGGGCGCTTAAAATATTTGTTGCACTTTTTGAGGGGCGCTTATTCAAACGGGGCGCTTATTCGAACGGGGCGCTTATCAAAACAGAGTGGAAATTGAGGGGGCGCTTATGGAAATAGATGAAACTCGAGGGGTTCTTATGAGAACTTATTAAATTCAAGAGGCATATTTTGAATAAAAAACGATTATAAGGATATCAGGAAACTGCAAATTACGAATGGTGGTGGCATGATCATTGCATGTTCTCTTGAAAACTCAGATGAGAATGTGTTAGCTGTAAATTGTCGGAAAAGGAGTAGGACTAGGCTATAGAAAAATTTTAGAAGATGAAAGTTGGAAATATACTGTCTGTCCAGGGAGCTCTCATCTGTCTAAGATAAATATCCTCACTTTGATATTGACTAAAGGAGAATGTGATTCCACTCCACACCTCAAATCATGCCAACATCCACACAGTCCAGGATTGATTGAGTTATTGAGTGGGCCTTTATTCAAATTAGAAGGGGGCGCTTATTCAACGGGGCGCTTAAGGAAGTTTCACGTTAGAAGGGGCGTTTATTCGAGAGGGGCGTTTACTCAAACGGGGCGCTTATTCACGCGAGTACGGTAGGCATAATTATGATCTGTTCATTGTGCGTTCGATTTTGATAATGATAGGAATGATTGGAGCACTGTATGATCAATGTGCGCCAAAATAAATAGATATTACATAAAAAGTATG